TGGGGTTTGAGGGAGAAAAACTTTGCCCAAAGTAATTTTTTTTTTTAAACTGTAGATACACTCTAAACTGTCACTTGAAGCAGCTCACTTGACTGCTTTTAAGTCTTCAGTTCACCTTGTCAGTTATCCAAAAAAAAAAAACAACCTAATATTGAAATATTTTGGAAATGTTTTGTAAAACACGTAGACAAGTGTTGGAGGCAAGTTACTTCAACAGGTTTTAAACAGAAATTGGGTTAAAGTGTTGGTATTGTAACTTTGCTCGTTTGTTAGCTTTTTTAAAATAGTAATGTTATAAACAGTCTTTCTAGATAAGTAAATGTTGATTTATGCAAAGACCTATGGCTACTTTGAAGTATAGTTCTTTTCATAAGTTTACTATAATTTGTTTCTGTACCTGATGGGGGAGGGATGTGGCCAGCAATTCCATAACCTTCTTTTGGGGAAGGATATGAAATTGATGAAGGGAGGACAATATTTGGGAACACGAAGGCTTAAAGCAGGGCTGTGAGTCCCCCTTTCTGACCCTGAGAGTATTTTACAACTTTTTCAATTGTTTCCATACAAACTGTATTAAGACTCTGTCCGTGAAACATCCTGGGGCGTTTTGTTAATGAACACTTGAGCCATTATTGCCCCTCTGTTCTACATCAATTTAAGTTCAATAAAACGTTAACTTTGCAATCCTGAGACTTTGGTCTTTCCTTGTCTGGGGGCAGGGGGGTCCTCCTACATCTCTGCGATGAAGCAGTGCGACGAACGCTGCCGCGGGGACTGCTGCGTTACCGTGGGAGCGCGGGCTGGATTCTGCTGATGTGCAAGGGGCGCGTCGGTGGTACCTCACCTCGCCGTAACGTCCTGCTGCTAATTTACGAAGCGTGCAAGAGTGCTGCTGTCAAGTGTAGACAGAGAAACGAGAAAGATGTGCGTTGAATGAATGCCAGTGAACAGGAGGCGATTTGTTCCGGCCTGTTTGACCGAGCGTGCTGCCTCAGTTCTGAAAGCAGGCGTAAGTGAACAGGAGGCGATTTGTTCCGGCCTGTTTGACCGAGCGTGCTGCCTCAGTTAGAGCTGAAAGCAGGCGTATGTAGGTATTTTCCCTGCAGATCGTCCTCTGTTTCTATCTGCTCTCCCTCTTTTTGCCTCAAGTTTAATATCCTGCCTCTTTCACTTCCCCTTCCTGTGCTGGCAGATGACCCGTGTTCCTTGTCATCTGGTGCTGGGACCAATTTCCGACTTGAAAGAGCAAAACGTTCACATGCTGAACCATTTCTTGTTTTTTCTCACTCTTCCAAGTTTTGGACTCCTGTCTGTGCTGCTTTATTACAAAGCACAGGGCATAGTCCTGGCAAAACACTTCGATACCCAGCAAATTTAAGCACCTGCGAAACTGTCACAGGCCACAGGGTTCTTCCCCTGCCGATACGCACAGCGCCATGCAGGGAAGCAAGCAGCAGCACTGTCTCGGGTCCGGCTGACAGCTGAATCGCCAGGGCTTTCCCCTCCACAGAAACTGCTTATCTGTTGCTCGCTAACTGTTGGTACAAGATGGTTGCATCACTCTCAACAGTTAATTGTTGGCTGTAAATATGAAACTGATGGATGGATAAAGGTTTTACAAGCAGATACTCTTATTCTGATTCACATTTCACTGTGCCCATGAACTGTTTTAGGATGTGTGATTTCCATGTACTTAACAGGCCCATGCATTTCTGGCTGTCATTCGATCCAGATCCCTAAAAACCAAAACAAAACCAAAAGTAACACCTCCCCAAACAGAAAAAAAACCCCACCACTCTTTTTAAAACCCTAAAAAGTTACCAATCTAATAAGTTATAGTTGCCTGAAAGGTGGAAAGCTGCTGTACATCCCTGTTAAAAATCAGGTTTTAAGTACTAAGCTATTGGCTTCCATTAGAAAATACATTCTACACCTGAGGGTTAGCCTGCATTTGCACAACAGGTCAGTGCTATGAGAGCTGTAGCCATCAGTACGCTCTGCACAGCTTGGATCTAACTCTTCTAGCTCCTGAACTCCCAAGTGCTCCTCTAGCATGTATATTTCTATAGTTTTCTATTTCAACCCTAGTCCTGAAGCAAGTTTACATTTTCCTGAAAGCTCTGCGCAAAAGCTTAAAGTTTGATGTTGAACAGGTACAGAAATAGTCATATTTTTCATTTAGACAAAGCCTTATGCAGAAGGATGAGCAGCGCAGCAGAGAGCGGAGGGCTGGGAGCAGTACGAGGGTCGTAACTCGACCGTGCCCGGCTGCCCAGCTCAGTGCTGGTCACACATCCCGGAGCCGAGGTCCCTGCTCCTGGTTCTTCACTGGCTTAATGGCCAGCTGGGCATTTCCACTGAGCAGTACAGGTGGGCTTGCATCATCTCCTAAGGTGCCAAAGGCATCTCCTTTAGAACTTCCTCTAAAGCCCGGTTGAAAATGCAATGCTAAGAAAATGCAGAATTATTCTCTGGGAATCACCCTGCAAGGTACAACTGTAATCAAGAGCTTAGTGGCTTTTTCAATGATTAAACTTTTCAAACTTTCAAGCTCTGCTGATGCATGGTAGTAGCTGGGGAACAAAGCAGGAGCATCCCTGAAGGCCAGGAGGCTGCTTGAGACCCTTGGGACCAAGGGCAGGGCACAGTGTCCCTGGGGGAGGGAGGTGACGGGGGCTTGGCAGCCTGACTGTCCTGCTGGCATCGCCAGGAGGCTGTCACCACTCCTCTGTCCCCCACCAGCCCACAGCTGGGGTTACCCGCGGTGCAAAACAGAACTGAGCATCACAGCTTGCAGCAGTGGTGGTGATGCTGCTCCTGTGAATGGGCTGGTCCCTACCTTCTGCTGTGGGCGACCGGCAGCCTCGCAGCTGACCATTGCTTTAGTAACTCTGTTCCCCCTGCC